TACAACCAGAACAGCCCCTACACACCCCCAGCCCCCATAGGCACTGCACTGACAGCCACAGCACAAGCCACTAGCTAAGACATACCTCAGTGGTTGGCAGATCTACCCAGGCCACGTCTGCTCTGTGGGGACCCTATGATATCCACTATAACTCTGATATCCTCCTGTGTCCAGCACAGACCATGCCCCTCACCCCTGCCCCAGCAGACAGAGCCCAGCTGGGAAGTAGCCCCAGTACCCCCTAGTGACTGACCACAATTCAGAGAGAAATACCCCTGTCTGCATCCCCTGGATCTCACCCACCCTCTCACACCACACCAAGGACAAGTGACAACAGCACTCACAGCCTGTTCTTAGAGAGGGTCAGACCCGAGTGAAACATCCCTAACTCCCACTCCTGACTTTCAAACAACGTCCAAACCTAGCCCAGCTCCACAGAAGAAGAAAATTCCCCTACTGCCTGAGCAAGATATGCAAAATCTGTCAGCACATCTTCACTGCCCAAAACCAGACTCCTGCAGCCACCTTCAGAGCTGCACGCTGCAGGCCGCGCTGGAACACTGATCAATAGATGCTGCTCATACAAAGGCTTTGCTAAAGCACCAGTTAGAGGAGGCCTGAGCAGCAAACCAGACTCCGCATGTCTCCCCAGGGGCACCTAAGTCCTGGCAGACCCCCTTTCGAGCCCTGCCACAGAGTCTGGGGATAACATGCTGCCACCATCCCGAGAGGGGACCTTCTAGGTTCTGTGTCCTCGGGGAAACACAGGCCTAATAGTCCTACGGGTACTCAACCCAATACAAACACTTGGAGCTCCTCCCCAAGTCGGGGGCCAAAAAGGATAGTCTCCCTTAGTCGGCAGACCTAAGGGGCCTCCTAGGCATAATTAAACCCACCCCTCAATAAGTCTCCTACACCAGTCACAAAGTAGAACTTTATTGGTTACAAAGGGTAGGGTTAGAATAGAGTACAGAGTAGAGTACTATCAAGGGATTACCAACGAGCAAACCAGTCTGGCTGAAGTAGCCGTTTGATATGCAAATGCATCACTGGAAGCTGACTAGCTCTCTCTAGAAACACTTACAAGTATCATTCAGAAGATGGTAGAGATCTGGCTCAGAGATTTCCAGAGAGAGAGCGTTTCAGTTGGGTCAGACTCTCTCCCTGTGTCCTGATGTTCGTGCCATGCTGGTAAAATGGCTTCTCCCCACCTTCTTCTTGGACCAGGTCCTTATACAGCCTTTCTGACCTCAGCATCCCAGTCCAATAGAAGCCAGCAGTGTTGGCAACTAGCCAACCAATTTAAAAAGCATCACTGGTTACCTGGGCAGA